GCAGCTCAGTTGGTTAGAGCTCGACAACTGTCTCTCTGTAGCTCAGTTGGTTAGAGCTCGACAACTGTCTCTCTGTAGCTCAGTTGGTTAGAGCTCAACAACTGTCTCTCTGTAGCTCAGTTGGTTAGAGCTCGACAACTGGCCTCTGTAGCTCAGTTGGTTAGAGCTCGACAACTGTCTCTCTGTGGCTCAGTTGGTTAGAGCTCGACAACTGGCCTCTGTAGCTCAGTTGGTTAGAGCTCGACAACTGTCTCTCTGTAGCTCAGTTGGTTAGAGCTCGACAACTGTCTCTCTGTAGCTCAGTTGGTTAGAGCGCTGCACCGGAATCGCAGGTTCAATTCCTGCCAGAGGGGCGATAGTTGCATTTTCTCCAACTGCTCCTGGTTAAGTCCAATGAATGTATAAAAATTCCATTCAAAATTGCCATCCGACAAATCCCTTCAATTAAATATTATGCCGCATTTTTTCAGGGCATACCACGCACAACATGGCTGTAATTTCACGAGTGTCATTCCCACAAATGTGTTTGGACCTTATGATAATTTTAACCTTGAAGATGGACATGTTATTCCTGGACTCATTAACAAGATTTATCACGCAAAAAGTAAGAGATTTAAAGTTTGTTCGTTCGCTGCAACCAGGTATATCAATCATGTTTCGCTCGCTACTCTGGTTTAAATAAATGATTACAAAGCCCAGTCGAATTGTAATCAAGACCCAACGTTTCGACACTCCAGTCTAGTGTCTTCATCAGGGGTGATTTAAAACTGCGATCGTGGCTTCTTAAATACCCAAGGGATGACGTCAAGATATATTTCGTACCTTTGTAGTATTCCGCTTAAGAGGCAATTTTTTTCATTGTCGCCTATTTGCGATGAAAAGTGCTCAAAACCTAAAATCTTCTTGGCGTTCCTCGCAAAATTACTTTGTTTTAGCTTTATTTTGTAGTTTACACAGTTATAGCAACCTTTTTAAATGTATCTGGTTATATATCTGGTGGTTGAAAAACACAAAATAATAGTTAAATATTGTCAATTTAGATATAATTACCACTGATGCTGTAAAATTGACGCCATATTTATACAGCAATATAAGCAAAACTTACTGAACTTCAGACATAATTTTCTCTTTGGCGTACCATCTAAAATCTCTTCATTTCAGCATTATTTTACAGATAAAGCACTAAACATACTTTTTAAGCTTGTTTGGCGCTTGGAAAACGTATAAAAATTTAAATTGTAACATACAAACGATTCTCCTCTTAACTGTTATAATTTAACCTTGATCCTTACACTTTCTTAAGAAGATGCATGGGCAGTTTGTTTGGTTAACCCATTGAGTGGCGGCACTCTCCACTTGACAAGTAAAATCGTCTGGCGTTAGACAGAATAAAATAGTCTGGCGTTAGACAGAGTAAAATACTAAAAGTAGGGCGCATCGGGGTGCTTTCCAACGGGTTAAACATGATCCTAAACATGAAATGTATATCATATTCTTAGAAGAAGGAAAACCATTCGAAGTTTGGGGAACGGGAAAACCAAGACGACAGTTTATCTATTCATTGGTACAGTATACCAGCTACGTTCAGTTCATACATACTATTTTATACTGATCAATGTAAACTTTGACAAAGTTAAGATGGCTTAAATTTAAATATGTAAACATGTTGAGCTTATGATTTTTCTGTGTTGGTGTAATGTACTCAGGTGAATATGATACTTGTGATGTTACTCTGAGTGTATATCCACACCGGGCATTAGCTTGAAAAATATGCCTGACCACGGTGGGAATCGAACCTACGACCTTTGGAATACTAGCCCAATGCTATATGATGCTTGTGATGTTACTCTGAGTGTATATCCACACCGGGCAAGCTTGAAAAATATGCCTGACCACGGTGGGAATCGAACCTACGACCTTTGGAATACTAACCCAATGCTAGTATTCCAAAGCTTGCCCGGTGTGGATATACACTCAGAGTAACATCACAAGCATCCTATTCACCTGAGTACATTACACCAACACAGAAAAATCATTACTGATTATTAGATTACATTGATATCGAAGGAACTAGATTCTGTTCCGAAATATCACATACTCGAACCGATCTGACCGCGTAGCTCAGTTGGCAGAGCATTGGGCTAGTATTCCAAAGGTCGTAGGTTCGATTCCCACCGTGGTCAGGCATATTTTTCAAGCTTTCCCGGTGTGGATATACACTCAGAGTAACATCATAAGCATCATGTTGAGGTTGTTATACAGCCATATTTTCAAATATACTGTACTTTAACAAGCAAATCTACTGTGCAGTCAAGCATACGTGATAAAAAGCCGATATATACTTTATAAACAAAAGATGCAGATTCGGCCATCTCAAATAATGGTAATGTTAAGCCCTGGGCAAACTAGGAAACATTGTTGCGGAAACATTTGTGATTCTCGATGTTTCCTCAAATGTTTCAATGTTTGCCCACCCGTGGAAACATTGTTGCGGAAACAAAATTTGCTTCCCGGGAAGCAAAAATGTTTCCTACCGAAATCAGAAACATTTGATGTTTCCTTATGTTTCTCACTAATGTTTCCTAGTGTTTGCCCACTCTGGGAAACATGGCGAAACATTGGTAGGAAACAATGTTTCCGCAACAATGTTTCAGCAACGTTTCCTAGTTTGCCCAGGGCTTTAGGCTAGTATAGCGTTGCAGAGGAGACTCAGGAGAGGTGCGACCATCTCGTCCGACCATTCTAAGATTTCTAAGAAGCAAGCAAATTGTTTTCCAGGACTTGGCGAGACTGATGATCTGGGTTTTGCGAGAGTATAATGAGACCTCGCCGATCATTCTGTCTGTTGGCGAGGAAGATGAAGTGTCTATTAAGGAAGCTGTCGAGATGATAGTGGAAGCTATGGAGTTCAAAGGAGAACTAACTGTATCCTTGAAGAAATCAGTTATAGTCATACTGAGCTATATACCAGCAGACCACAGGAGAACAGGGGCGGTTCTACCGTGGGAGGGGCACCCCAACTAGTAGTATCTAGCACGCCCTAGAGAAGTCCAGCCCCACCCAAAAAAAATCTGCTTGACCATACATTTTCTAGTTTTCGAATAGCGATTAGCGGAACTTCTACTGTTAGCATGCGTCGATTTGTTGAAACTATTTAATTGATTTGTGAGCTCACGAGAAAATACTCGGAATGCTTTAGTTAAGTATCATGTTTAAATATGTAAACATGTCGAGGTTGGTATACAGCCATAATCAAACATACTGTACTTTAACAGGCAAATTTACTGTACTGTGCTAACTGTCCAGTCACGCATACGTGATAAAAAGCCGATATAAACTTTATAAACAAAAGATAAGGTAAAACGTAACAGAACGGCGAACATGCAGATTCGGGCATCTCAAATAATGGTAATGTTGGTAAGGCTCCCCCATGCACCACCCCATGCACCACGCCAGATCCGCCCCTGTAGGAAATACCATTCATAATAGGCATTCCTCAAAACAAACAAGCATATACCATGTAAGTAATGTATATAGTAAATTATGTCAAACTGATTGAGACCTTGACATGTGTGCCAGTATGATACAACCAAGTCTGATGGGCAATTCAAGAAGACAGCAAGCAATGCAAAATTAAGAAAGTACAGACCTGATTTTAAATTCACTGATATTAAACAAGGTATACGTTTCTGGTGATGATCGCTGATCTAACTTGTGTAATTCATTTTACGCTAGAGTTGATTAAGCTACCTTCTTTGTACTGCTTTGTCCTGTAGACCAAGTATACTACTTAACAATTATTCGTCGAAGGCGAGGTGATTATCGGTGAATAAAAACAGAGACGAAGTCGAGATTTTTATTCACGATAATCACCGAGCCTGAGGTGAATAATTGTTTTAGTATAATGGATGATTCTAGCTTTTGACTAAATTTTGATCTAGGCAAGAAAAACAAAATCCATTACCACAGCTAGAAAGAGCATGTTAAAATTAGTAAAATTGCAACGTTTGGTTGCGAAATGTTGTAAAATGAAGAAAATATAGCCCTGCGAAATTTGCAAATTTTGTATTAATTTGTATTGCGCGCGGGAAAATGCACCACTTTCCGCCCAAATGTGGTGCATTTTCCCATGCGTAATACAAACTAATGCAAAATTTGCAAATTTCGCAAGGCTGTATTTTCCGCATTTTACAGCCAAATTTCGCAACCAAACTTTGCAATTTTACTAATTTTAACATGCTCTTTCTAGCTGTGGTGATGGATTTTGTTCTTCTTGCCTAGATCAAAATTCAGTCCATAGCTGGAATTATTTCATAGGTGATTATTTGGAAAAAAACATTCATTTCATAGGTGATTATTTGGGAATATTTCTTCGCCATTTCGAAAATCGTTTAGGTTATTATCACGTTACAATCACCTCAACGGCAACCAATCAGCGTGGAGAATATGCAATAATCACCTTTATTATATAAACATAAGTGTTATATAGAGTTTTTGGCCACTGAGAAAAATCGTATTTAAACACACGTAAAAAATGCGATATTTTTACGTGTGAAAATATCATTTGTTGTAAAACGCATTGCCACGGACGTTTTATTGTTTTTTTCTGAATTATGCGCCTGTTCAACACAAGAAATAAATCTGGTATTTCCGCGCATCCATGTATTATTCTCTATATATGTAATTATACTAAATGATATTAAGCCCGGTTTACATGCACTATCAAATAAAATACTTTTTCTCTTTTGTAGCTTTGCGTGAAACTTGCCAATGGTTTGAAGCAAACTACGAGACCGTAAGAAAATGAACGCTTGCCATTTAAATATTTAAGCATATCTTTTCAACTGATAGTATATTATTCGGCATAATTATTGGTGGCATTTGGGTCAATCAAAATAGATATTTTCCACGATTTGACAATATCACGCGTAAACAAAGGAATATGCATTAAATTATTTTAAGATCCTACTCTAGACTAGCAACTTGTCGTAAAAATATGAATTAATATTAAAACAAAACCTTTTAATCTTGGTAGCTTTTTAAGCTTTATTTTACATCATTTCAAAAGCAGTTTAGCATAGACGTTTGCAAATTATATATACTATTCTATATGTATTATTTCCTCTCTCTGGGAATAACCTCAGAATATTTCCCTTATTGCGTGCAACATGCTTAATATTTTTCTGGCCAGAATATATATAGCAGTCTTTAAACGCCGAACAGAAAAGTTCTAAAGTCAGATATGCAGGATCTAGTGTTAATTTTTCATCCAGGAAGCTGTTTTACTTGTGGCGACAAAGTTTTGTGCGATGTTCACTATTTTTAAATACTTTGCATGGGACTCCAATGGTTTGTTAGACAAATGATAACTACAGATGGCTTACTCGCATATCCAGAACAAAAATATGAATGTTGGCATCAATAACTAAGGAGATTATTGTTCACACAACGTGCTAACCTGTGACGTCACGGCTCATCTGCTACGTCATACTCCTCCTCAGCCTCTTCAGTTTTTTTCTCGGTTTTGGCTGCAGCATCCTTGGCGTTGGGTACCCAGAGTCCAGAATCAACACACTTCTTGAGATGAGAACGTGCTTCTTCTTCGGGTAGCTCCGCCAACACTTTCTGAAGCATGGGAATGTCTTTCTTCTCAAAACATTCTTGAAGAGCCTGAAACGATACAATTTAGCATTTCATTCAAAAATGCTTCATTATTTCTCGGCCGTTCTAGGCTAACATTAGAGACCTTACGATTTTAGGACGGCAACGGCTACCAATACAATAGATCATTGAAAAGAATTGAGTAATTACAATATATGAATAATTTAGACATTGTCCTCGCTCTGTTTACAACGCTAAATCACAGATTTTCACGTCTCGATACAACGGCTGCATTCCAAGCCACAACAAGTGCAACTTCAAACTGGGTTTAGCAGAACTCTTCCCAACCATAAAACCCATGTCTTCAACTTTTAAAACTGTATTAAATTCATACGATTGATAATATACCACGAACTATCTTTGCTAGACAATTTTGAAACGGCTCTCAATTTCACAAATCCGTTCATATCACGAAAATGTTGATAAATATAGATTGTCTGGGTACTTATAATGTAGAATAAACAACATTTTTTCGTCAAGATAAATTTTCCAGAGCAGGGGGGGTGTCTCTTTTAGCAACATTAAAAATAGCTTGCGCGCAAAATTTAAAACTTTTAAACGCATTTTGGGTTCATGGGCGAGAAATTTGTTATCTGTTTTATTAATGCTTCAAATATCAGAAATTTACTCAATTTTACGTCTTTTAAGCTGGAGTAATACGAGCAACAAAATTGCTGCAACTTGCAACAAAATCTAATTTCAATGCATGTTAAGTAGAAATGTCGACACATGTTGCCTCGTGATTTGTAATGTATGTGTATAAACATTTTCAGTTAACATGCGTAGAAATCGGATTTTGTTGCAAGTTGCAGCAATTTTGTTGCCTGTATTACTCCACCTTTAAATAGCTGCTGAAACTTTCATTTTTTGGCACCAATGCCTATCACGCATGCTTAATTCAAGCATTTACCTAATTTGCATATTGTTATTTTACTTTTTTTTACAAACTATTATTCAATCGAATAAGATGCCAACAAAATCTTGATATTTTCCCATAACTTAACATGGCAGTACCCTAGTATATATATACATGAACTTGTGGTTTACAGCTCGAGAACTGGACTCTGTAGCCCAGTTTGTTATACAACGCGGCCTGCGAGCAGACTAAGTTTGTTAGAGCGCTGCACCGGAATCGCAGCAGGGTTCGTACAAAACTTGAAAGTCCTTGAATGTCCTTGAATTTGAAAACAAAAATTCAAGGCCTTGAATGTCCTTGAATTTGTAAAGAAGTGCTTGAATGTCCTTGAATTTGTAAAGAAGTACTTGAATGTCCTTGAATTTGTAAAGAAGTACTTGAATGTCCTTGAATTTGTAAAGAAGTACTTGAATGTCCTTGAATTTGTAAAGAAGTACTTGAATGTCCTTGAATTTGTAAAGAAGTACTTGAATGTCCTTGAATTTGTAAAGAAGTACTTGAATGTCCTTGAATTTGTAAAGAAGTACTTGAATGTCCTTGAATTTGTAAAGAAGTACTTGAATGTCCTTGAATTTGTAAAGAAGTTCTTGAATGTCCTTGAATTTGTAAAGAAGTACTTGAATTTGTAAAGAAGTACTTGAATGTCCTTGAATTCTTCTTGCTTTAGTTTTTGGATATTTTCTGAAATTGTTTGACATTCAAGACGGACATTTTGTTGAACTGATTTTGCATGTTCATATCTGACCTCATTATAAAGTTACGTTTTGAACAATTCAACGTCAGATTTTGCTGATTTCTAACGCCTTCAGTATTTAGTCCTTGAATTTGCCGATACACGGCCTTGAATGTCCTTGAAAAGTCCTTGAATTTAACTCTTCCTGACCTGTACGAACCCTGTCGCAGGTTCATGTGAACGATCGGAAAATGTGAAAATATGCAAGCACACTTACTACTGGTAATGATTCAAATACTTCAACCGGATCCAATCCCCCAGGTCCAAGTCGTTTTAACCTTTCCTCCTATATAAAAAACATGAATCGTTGGTTGACATGTAATAGTTCACAAGACATTGGGGCACATCCAAAAGTCTATTGCGTTTCGTACACAGATACTGAACGGAATTTTTACGTCACCTCAAAATAGTCATTTTCTCGCCATTTCTATAATTTCCTTCATTTCGGCGCAAATCACGCATTTTATCTGATTTCACAAGAAATCAACCTATGTGGGCCCTTTTATAAGACGACTAAAACTTTTGCATATATATATTGCTTATCTAAAGGCCGATGTAAACTGCACACTTTTTGCCTAAAACTGTCGCATGCAACCTGCTTACAACTTGAGTTGTACCACAGATTAAGTATATACCAGTGCAGGGATGGATTACTGGCGGGGGGGG